TTTAAAAATATAAACAAACTGGTAAGGAGGATTGGAAGATCCATAAAAATAAGCTAATATAAGCTGCAAGGATTATTAGAGGAGCAGAAGGAAACATTCACTGTAATTAGAGTGAATATTTCAGTTAACAATAAAGGGTTCTGCAAGTGTAATCACACGAGTCAGAAGATATTGATCCATGAAAGGAACCAGGAGGAATTAGAAGTGGGTGATAAAGGAAAAGTAGAAGACTTTATTATACAGGTTTGTTTATGGAATGGAGAGTAGCCTAAGGCTCTGATCCTGCAAACATTTATGAATAAGTTTAACTTTATGCATATGAACAATCTTTGTGAACACGACTGGACTAAACTGAGGTCAGTGGAACTATTTGTGCATATAAATACCTGTGTAGTTCTTTGCAGGGCAGAGGCCCAGTGCACCAACTGTACTACAGGATTGTGGGGGAGGAGTATAATATGCAAGGACGAGTGGACAGAGACAGTATTTATAATATACATCTCTGGCTTCGTCTAGACTGCAGGCTTCATTTGGAAGAAGTTTTTCCTGGAAGAGATCTTCCGAAAAAACTTCTGAAAGAGAGTGTCTACACAGCAAAAACACATCGAAAAAGCAATGTGCTTTTTCGAAAAATAGCGTCCACACTGAATGGACACTCTCTCACATTTAAGCTGTGATTGCTATAGACAGAGTAACCACCAGAGCATCTGTGCTTTTTCCTCTTTCAAAAGACCTCCCTCTTCCCTGTCCACACATGCCTTTTTCCAAAAGAGCTCTTTTTGAAAAAGGCTTCTTCCTCAAAGAAAGAGGTTTACCAATGTTGGAAAATCCCTCTGTTCTTTTGATTTTTTTTTTTTTTTTTTTAAAGAAAGTGATTGCAGTGTGATCGTAAGTGAAGTTTTCTGGAAAAATAGCATTTTTCCAGAAAAAACCCAAAACTCTGCAGTGTAAACATACCTTCTATAGCATCATCACTAGAGGACCTGGGTGTTTTGGGGCAAAGTGTTAAGAAAAGGTAGGTCCCCTTTTTTTCAAGTCTTAAATAGAGATGTAAAAATGCATGCTGTGAGCAGGGTCCAATCGACTGGGCCCACCATGGCTGTGGTCAGAGGCGAGGGGGGGGAAGGGGAGGGCTGGCTTCTCTGGTTGGATTCTGCACAGCTGAAGGCGGGGTCCAGCTAGCCAGGCCTGCCACAGCCACAGGTGGGAGCTGTGCTAGCTGGGCTTGCCATAGCCACAAGCAGGATCCAGCCTGCCAGGCTGGTAAACCAGTCATCTTGTAAGCAAGCTGATAAGCCTACTTCTTCCTGGGTCACTGGTTAACTTCTTACATCCCTAATCTTAAAGAAAACATGACATTAATAGTGAGACACCAACTACTGTTTTGAGAAACTCTCTGATACTAGGTCCAATATTTAGATGCTTTCAGGGACAAATCTAACAGTATTATTCCTATTTTATTTAGGCACTAATATGCTCAGCACTGTACAAGACAAATAAGTCATCCATTGCCCTGAGGAGTTTGCAGCATAAAAGCCAATCAAAGATTCAACAGGATGTATGGAGAAACCCAGAGGAGATGCTAATTTAATGTGTTTATTTTTAGCTCATTCATGCAGTCTCTCGGTCGCGCTTTTTTAAGAGCCCACATCTACCCTCATGTATCCATCTCTGCATTTAAGGGTGTTGAGATCAGGGCTGAGCTGAGCCCAATGTGTCTATCAGATATACTGCAGCAAGTTTTTATGGAGGTATTAGGTTAAATGTGGTAGAGAAAATATTACAATGGAAACAATTAGGAGCAATTTAGGGAGCCCACCTTGAAAATTTTAATCTGATTAGGATATGTTCCTTATCACCTAAGAAATGGGAGGAGGCTGACAAAGGCACTCTATGTGTGCACAAGGAGGAAGGTTAACACTTTGGTGAAGTGCTGCATAGGCTTATGGTGCAGAACATTTGAATTATTTTAAAAATTGCTTAAAACGGGAAACTGCTCCCAGCTCAGCTAGGTGACTTAACTGGAAAGAGTCTTCTAAGGGGAAGCAACAAACTTAGAGACAGGAAAGAGTAAATAGAACAGATGAGAATTCTACTGACCAAGGGGAAGGTTTCGGGTTGAGGGGAAGAGAAGTTGAAGGGAGAGAAGTATTGCAGTCTAACCCAACTGTAAAATGGGGAAGGGCAAGGGGAAGAGGGAGGAGATAGAAGCTGGTTTGCACCAGTTGAGGGACACCTTGGTGATAATTACTGGAATAAATTACTATGGTCCCCTTTGCACAGGAAAGGTTTGACTGGCTTGGAGAAGGTACGATGCTAGCAACAGCAAAAATAGTCTCATTTTAAGAGGAAATGTGAAAGCAGGTAAAGGTGGCAGAAGAATTACTTGGTGATTACCTATTCTATTAGACGGTCTTATATGTATGCAATAGTTGGATGAGGTGAGGCAGTGGATCCAGATTCAGAGAATTCAGATGATAACAGAGCACAACTGTTTGATTCTGATAATAGTGGGTCAGACCCCAAAATCCTTACTCAGTCCGTTTCATGGTCAGCTGCCCAGTGACTTTAGTCAAACCTCAGCCTGTGTCAGGACTTTGGGGTTGGACCACTGTTCCCTGTAAGCTGTGCATTTGTGCGGCCATGCAGGAGAGATTCCAATTCTGCCCAGCTGGTGAGCAGAGCGTCCACAGCTAGGTTTTTGTTTCTGCTTGTGGTGCACATTTGTACATGCTTCAGTGCACATAAAATGTATTCTGCACATGGATGGGGGAAAAAAATCCACACATGGATGGAAAAGCTTAGAGGGAGCATTGGACTGGGCCCAAAATAAATACAATATGTGAATGAGCTTTCAAGGAAGGTTATCCAAGCAAAGAGTACACTGTGTACAAACCCAAGAACAGCAAGTATGGATGAGTGGAGAATTATCCACAAGAGAAGAGGCAGAGGTTTCATGAGGCCTACTGGCTTTTTTCTGCCTGAGTTAATGATTAATTGAAACTCTTTTTTTTGCTACAGTTAATTTGACATGAATCTGTATTTGGGAACTGCTGGAATAGTTGAAGATAGACAAATTAACAGCACCACTTCAGTTATTATAGTGAAACCTCACAGTGGTAGCTTAACATGAGAAAGGAAATAATGCACTTGCAATTCACTCTAGATTAATCCAGAGCCCGCAATGCTGAACACACTTACCCTGAGAATTTTCTCTGAAGATAAACCTTGAGTGTATTTCACTACTAAATCACACAAGACACTTATTTGGCAAGAATGACCCCTGCTCATATACAATCAATCGTGAACTGCAACAGCCCCTGATGGATTTTGAGTCAGTGCCATAGACAGCTAAGCCCAAGGCCTGTGTTTCAGGATTCCGTAACTGTGCCAAAATATGCCTATAAATTATTAACATCTTCAGCACAGTGTCATCTGTGCCGTTTGAAATAAAAAAAGACATTCTGTGGCTCCGTCTGTCATTAAAAAAAAAGAGATAACCGATTAATCAGAGCAACAAACCTTTCCTTTTCCCTGCCAGAATAAATCACTTATCCCAGGCACACCCACTCTTCAAACTATCTTCCCAGAACTTTAATGACACTTTTCTGGTTCATACCTGCAATGCTGCACTAGAAACAAACCCCCATTTTTTTTTCAAAAATCAGAAACAAACAAAACAAGACACAAGCCATTTGCTACAGGGGCAAAGATCCCATTTGCATGTGCAAATGTAAATCAAGCAGATGACACTGAGAAAAACAGCTCTTCTTTCATTTTGCTTTGCAGTGGCATTGCAGGAATTCTGGTCTCTGAAATTTCAACTTTTCAATCCTTTCATGTACAAACCCTTGGTATTTTCCACCTCTTTTAAGCTTTATTTTGATATCTAAAGTTACAGAATAGCCATGTTTGTTTGCAGATGTTTTGTCGCTAATGAAAATGAGCAGCTGCAAGGACATTCACTAATGTGGAGCAGCTAATTAGCTGTCAACGATGACACTAATTTCTCAGAACTATGAGGTTCTTTTAACATTATATTAAAATAGACCGGCTAGATCCAAGTGTAACAACTTCAAACCAAGCAGCATGTCAATCATTTACTAACATCCAAGAAACTGGGGGGGGGGGGGGGGGTAATGTGAGGAGAGATTTAAATTTACTAGAAGCAAGTAAGAAACATTGAAAACATTTTCTACAGTAAAGCTGAAGACAAAAAGTACTTCTTTTGGGTGTCTGCATTTTATTCTGAAAAGTTAAGCTAAGCCTTTAAAGGCAGCATTTATTAGCTCATCCATGCTAATTAGAAATGCTTTTGAATCACTCTGTGCAGAGTAATACACATTTATATTTTTACTAGTTAAATTCAAGCTAATAAGACTCATAGGCAACTTTATATAGATCATTACAGTTTTGGACCAAAGACTAGACATCTACTATGACAATGCATCAAAACAAGACATGGAACAAGCAATAAATAAACCTTCTCTTCTCAGAGAACTTGCCAAACCTATAGTAAAATAGCCCATGTTGTCGATAAAAGAAGGAGGTTACACTTCACATTCTAATTGTGCAGCTATCCCAACAGGCCTTTTCCTGGCTTCTGGTGTTTATTTCCCTTTCCTCTACTCTTTCATCTACCCACAGAGAAAACTAATTAGTAGAAAACCCTTGCCCTGTTTTGCATGGCAGGGTAGAATTGCATGGGAGGCCCTCCCAGTATTCCAGCCTCCTACCACTACTCATCCACCCAAAATCTTATCCAGGAAAGCAGAAGAGCCAGAGATTCCAAAATCCACCAGGGACATGACTACTGCCAATGAAGGATACATGAAAGGCCTCAAACACTGGGGTGATGGGCACCAGTACAAACCCTGAAGAGCACAAACTAAGCAGCGTCCCCCTGTTGGCTTATGGTTAATTGGCCAGCAGGGACCCGCTCAGCCCCTCAGGCGAGACTTATGGATAGCACCCAGAGAGCAGCCGCTTGGAGAAGTTACCTTGGCAGCTACTGACGAGTTGGGTTTCTCTAGAAGATCCCAGAGTTTTTTCCTCTTGTCGGCGCAGCAGGTGTTATCAAATTCCTCCCCTTCCCTTTCCCGCAGCGTCTCGGCTTCTCTCTTCAGCTCCTCGTTCATCTGCTCTTTCTTCTGGTGGTACCGGGCCTGGCAGCAGGACTCCAGGTAGATCTCGTCGATGCCCCAGTAGTCCAGCTCCTGGCTGAAGGACAAGGCGCACATCTCCTCCATCATGTGCAGCTTGCCCGTGCGGTAGAAGTTCAAGATGGACGTGAAGGCCCCCGGGTGCCGGTCGAAGAAATACTCGTTCTCGTCCAGGTTGTAATCGTCGCAGATCTCCAGCAGGGCCTCGTGCGCGTTGCAGTCCCGCAGCTTGCCCAGCCTGGTGCGGGGCAGCCTGTCCAGGGTCCGCCAGAGGCACTCACGCGCCA